AATCGGGTCAGAGCATGGCTTTTAATTGAGAATTTTCAAAGAAGTAAAACTGCTGTCAATCAAATTAGCATCCGTATGAGGTCCAAGCCTCAAAGCCTTTTTCCTTTAACATATCCCATTATGTTCCAGCAAATGCTATGCCTTCACATATCCACCGCATAGCCCCAGGACACCTGGTTACTGTGTCCTCCCAGAGGAGATTAACTGTTTAGCATTCCAACAGGTCCCAGTCGCACCTTGAGACACTCCCCAGAGGGAGCCTTATGGGCCTCAGGTCATACCAGGGCACTCCCTCAGAGAGATTGCAGCCTCTGGTCATACCGGGGCTTTTCTCTCTTAACTAATGGGAAAAGAGGCTAAATGCGGGGGTGGGGGGTGGGGGGGCATGTTAATAGAAATCGGCTTCAGGCAACAACAAATGATCGAGATATATGTCTTCACTGACAAGTTGAGTTGCTTGAGGTCAAAGCAGAAGGGATAATTGACTGCTGGGTGGGGTGGGATAAGAATAGTAGAGAGAGGACAGCTGAGCTTCTCATGGACACTTTCAAATGATGTCTTATAAGCAAATGTCCACATATAAGTATTTAATATGCTTTGGATGTGTATTATGGGTCAGATACTTCATTGAGCACTTTTAATCCCCATGTAACTCTGTGAGGAAGTTAATATTGTCATCTGAATTTTTCAGTTGAGGAAGCTGAAGCCTAGTGGGTTACAAATTTTCCCAAGGCCACCCAGCTAGTGGGAAGGGGAACAGTCTTGCAGACAGCACCAACCTAGTATGAAGCCCCCGTTTTTAAGCCATGAAGCCATACTGCCTTCTGTTCCTGGAATAAACTTATTCAGACAACACTATCCTCTCAGGCTTCTGAAGGACACACCTGGCAGCTCACACACAGCAGTAAACCATTTGACTGTTACTGACTTACTTTGGAAAACCCTGATTACTAAACTAGCTGATGCCCAGGAAACTACACTTAGAAACCCATTCAGAATTCCGCAGGAAGCACAGTGGTTAAGTTGGAAATAGCCGCAGGCTCATGGGTTGGGATCCACCCCCATCTTTAACTTCATTGTACTCGCTGTCTTTGCTTAATTGTGTTGAGCCTCATTTCCTCATCTGTAAAGTGGGAACAAGAACACCGATGCCTCCGGGTGTTTGTGAGGGTTTTAGAGGCAGCATATCCCAGCCTGCATGTGAGGGCATGGAACAGATCCTGTGCCCTCCTTCCCACTCTCCCCAAATGGAAAGGGGGCATGCGATTTGCACCCTTTGCAATTTAGTTGCTGTACTGGGCACTGAGTGAAACCTGCTGCTTTTCCAAAGTTTCAAATTATGCCGATGAACTGTGTATGAAAATAAATTATTTTATGACAAAAACACCTGGATTTGAAGTCAATCAATCTGAGTTCAGGTGATGAGGTCAATTTGTGACCCTGAAAAACTTATCACTTGTCTGCGATTTGGTTGCGTTATATATAGATAGGCACTATATAGATATACATATATGTAGATAGATGTAAATTATAGATATAGATTATAGATATATAAATAATAACTAAGCACAGTGTGTTATAATGGTTAATTTTGAAAATATATGGAAATGACTTTTTGGTTAATGACAAAGTGTTTTGTCATCAGCCTATATTTGTATATTGTGTTCGTACAAATGTGTATTTTAATCCTTTTTTTCCCCAAAAACTAAATTGCTTTTATGTTCTATCTTAGAGCTTTCTAAAGCCCTGGCTGTGATATAAATATATGGGTGTTATACAAATGAGTAGCATTTACAAATGAATGCAATTAATTCAACTTAAAAAAATCTTAGATCGTTACATGAAAACGGTGTTATTATTATGTTTGTTGAGGGTTACCATGCATGTCTTTTGGTGATACTGTGCATCCCTTGCAGGTACACTGCAAAGTCACCTGAGATTTAGCCGGCCGACACTGGATGTCACCATTGTGCTGTGTAATGTAGAACAGGTGTGCTCTTTAAGATTCAGGAGACGGTCAGTCTCTTCAAGGGTTTGGAGATAAGTTAGCTTTTTCCCCCATCACATAACCTACTTGTAGCACTTTTATCGTGACTGACTTTTTCAGTTTCTACTATTTAAGCTCCATATAATAGTGAACAAGAAGGATGAAACAATATGCAATGGTGTTAGCTCAAAACTGAGAAACTGATAACTCAGAAACCGTGCCCAAACCAATGAGAGCTCTTAGTTGCAAACCAGAGTAATTAACTCTGGCTAACTGAAGTAGTAAAGGAATTTACCAGAAGACTATGGAGCGGCAAATTTCCCCTTTATATAAAGACACCAGTCGTATGGAATTTGGGTCTACCCTACTGAGGTATGGCCTCATTTTAACTAATCTGTAGTGACCCTATTTCCAAACAAGGTCACATTCTGAGCTACCAGGGGTTAGGACTTCAACATCTGAATGGGAGAGGGGACAAACCTATAACAGTGCCTTATACGTGTTTATTGTATAATGGTTCAGCCATTCTTCTGTCATTAAACAGAGAAGTAGGTTTAGTTACATTATCCTGGGTGCCCAGTGATGTATTGGTTATCACAATTCACAGTAATGTGTAAGAATTGCTTTGCAAATTGTAAACTGTTCCTTATGTGTTAGCATAATCATTTGGGCACGTTGATGAACTATTGATGCATTCTCAAGAAAGAACCCATACCATGGATTTGCTAGTCTTAAAATCCCCCAAAGCAGATTTCCTTTTATAGCCCAGATCAATCTGCAGACTGTGTAAAATATTACCTGGTTCATCTCTACCACTCAGACAGCTTGTCAACAGTAATTGTGGAGAATGGCTTCATATTTTATTTACTCATTGACAAGCATGTACAAATCATTTATTATGTGCGAGGCACTGTTATAAGTGGTTGAGAGATGTTAACTCACAATTCCATGTGGTTTATTATTTATTTTATTAATAATTAATAATTTATATTAATAGCTGAATTTTCATGATAAGGGAACTGAGGCACAGAGAGGTTAAGGAACTTGCCCAAGGTCTCATAGCTACTGAGTGGCAGAGTCAGGCCATGAATCTAGGTTGTCCAGCTCCAAACCTTTGATTTGTAGACTATTCTTTCTTCTCCATCCGTCTCATGAAAAAATTCAGTGTGACTGAACAAAACAGAGCTGCTTTGGTTCAAGCTGAGATGGTGAAGCCGTCTCTGCCCAGCACCTCCTGTTCCCCTAGGAGTCCTGTTTGAAAAGCCCGGATCTAGGAAATAACACCTCTTGGAGTGATGCCACTTGTAAGCTGTCTTCAATCTATTCTAGTATAAAACAAATATAATTCTTTTCTCACTTTAATTAACTGATTGTGTTTTATTTTGAAAATATTATCTGCCTAATCTACTTCTGGCAGAAATAAAATGCTAAAATGGATTTTCCCCAGGATAGTAATGCCATATGGCGATTTGGATATCGCGAGCTTAAGTTCCCCTTAGGCTGGTTTCTTTATACAAATCAAGGACTGTGGTTGTAAAGGTTTTCTGAACCAAGGAGAGAAATGGAATTTGATTTCATATGAATATACTTTACAAGCAGATAGGCGTCAACTCCGTTATGGGCTGCTTATCTGCTGTGGTTAATAATGATATAAAATAATAACAGCAACAATATTCACAGTTACTGTCCACTGAGTGCCTTTTGCCACCAGGGATAAAAATAAAAAAAATAAATAAAATAAAACCCTCATTTTTAACTCTTAGGTGTCACCACCCCTATTTTACAGATACGTAAGTTGAGGCTAAGATTTTATGGAACTCGTTTAAGATGGCCTTACCACCGAAGGGAGGAGGTAGGCTGTTTTGAGAAATAGCAGTGATTAAGGAGCAGCATTTCAGGATATTAAGAATGGAAGAAACGTAAGAGAACATATTCTCAGATATACAACATGAGGTCCAATGAGATTTTCAAATTGTGAGACTGTGAGAATGCAGTGGGACCCATTCTCAAGAGTGATTACTTCCTATGATGAGATGCCTCTGATCGCTTGTTAATGTACACAGTGTATAGCATATTAAAAAGAAAAAGAAGGCAAATTAATCAGTTGGGACCATAGTTTGAGGGAGACTGACCTGGAGAACAAAACACAACTCAGACCAACTTGAGTTCTTGCTTGCCTCTGCGTTCCCACTGGTTTTGCTCCAACCCCCTGTCACACCCTAACCCAGGAGAGCAAACTTTTTCTGGAAGGGACTAGATAGTAAATATTTTAGACATTACTTGCCACCTGTTTTCTTTGTCACAGCTACTCAATGCTGCTGTTGTAATGCCAAAGCAGCATAGACACTAAGTAAGGGAATGGCCATGGTTAGAGTAAAACTTCATTTACGGACATTAAACTTAAACTTCATGGAATTTTGGGGTGTCACGAAATGTTATTCTTTTGATTTTTTTTTTTTTTTGAACAGCTAAAAAGAATGTGAAGAACCATTCTTCTTAAATCATAGGCTGTCCAAACAGACAGGAAGCCAGCTGGCGCTCCTGGGCCGTGGTTTGCTGACCACCACTCTAATCTGACCTCCCCCTCTGGTTTCCAAACACATTGCTGATTGTCTCTAGGGGTGTTTGTTGAACTTAGAGCATTTAAATGTTGCTTAGATCAAGAACGTAATCCGGAAGAGACTTCACAGGACCCCAGTGATGTAAGTCCTTCCCCTCGCTCATATTCTGCAGAAACAGACTTGCAGAGTTGCGGCTGCCAAATCAACTTCAGCCGAAACAAATAGAAGCCATAGTGGCTGTCTAAGAGGATTTATAATAAAATGGAAAGTTCTTGGCATGCTCTGTCAATTTCATCGAAGATTAAAGGATAAATGCAAAACTCTGAGTGAGTTATCCCCAGAAGCTATCTAGTTTTAAAGCGATGCCAGTAAATATGAAAAATTCTTTGTGTGTTTTAACAACATGGGTCATTGCAAAGTTTTAAATATTTCTGTTGTTTTCTTCTCACTAGTGAAGCCAGCCTTAATGTGATGGAAACACCCTTGGTGTCCAAATGACACAGGTTTCAGACTCAGCTCTGTTAATTTTACTGTGATCTTGGGTAAGTAAACACCACCTATGAGAGCCCTCACTTCCTTATCAGTAAAATTAGATTAATAATTCTCCCTCATAAAGCTTTTTGTTTTATTTATTTATTTTTAGACCTTTACTGTTTATTATGGAAATTTCACACAGAAACAAAATAAGGAGAGAAGTATAATGAACCCCATGTGCCCTTGCCCAGTTTTAACAATTCCCTGAATTTTACCCAAGCGTCTTTCATCTTTACCTCACCCAACTGTCCCTCTTTATTAGAGTATTTCAAAGCAATTCCAAACGCAATATTATTTCACCTGCAAATAGTTCAGTATGTATGACTAACAGATAAGGTCTTTATTTAAAGAATGGCATGATTTCGTTTATCATACCTAGCAAAATTACAGTTATTCTTTTACCTCATCTGCTCAACCCAGACAGTGTTAAAATTTCTCCAGTTGTCTCAAAAATGTCTTTATATACCTGGTTTATTTGCATCAGGAGCTAAAGAAGATTCATATATTGCATTAAGTCATGTGTCACTTAAGACTCTTAATTTATGGCAATTTTTCTTCTCTTCTCCCTATCTTTCTTTATATTATTAATTTGTGGAAGGAACTGGTTATTTGTCCCATAAAATTTCACATAATCTGGATTTGGCTGATTGCAACCTTCACCTTTGGAGAGTCATTAAACATTATCCTCTTTTTCAGATATTTACTGCTGTTAGATATAGAGGCTTGATTAGATTCAAGCCTACTTTAAAAAATAAATCATACTTCATAGGTGATGCTTTCTACTTGTGACTGTACCACATCTAGAGGACAAAATATCTGGTTGTCTCTTTTTAACTTGTGTTAAGAACTATTAGTAGGGTCCTTCAGGTTAATGCATACTTCATTAACCTCTCACCTAATGTTTTAGCACCGATTGATAAACTGTTGCTTAGAGCCATTATTTTATAAGGGGTTTGAAATGTAGGTTTTCTAATTCTGTCAATCCCTTTAGGTTTATTAGCAAGAATTCTTTTGAAAAAATTCCCTCATCAGCTATTTGGTCTCCATGAAATACAGTTCTTACAGGAAAGGCAAGATAAATGCCTGTTGGTGTCCCCATCACCCTTTTTTTGGACTAATATTTAGTATAATGGTGGCCTGTCTCCATGGAGTTGGACCATGAGGATTGGTGGTGGGGGGGCGGGGTGTTTTTTCTCCTGTCATTATAAATTTTGATATGTTTCAACCCCTTACAGTTATTCCTCTTCAGGTTGGTTTTTGTGTCTTATTCAAGTAGTATTTGAATTACTTTCTTGCTTTCTGATCTGATAAGATATCTCAGGCTTGCCTTATACATTTCCTGCCCCAGACCTGTATCACTCAAGAAGCCCTGGTTTCTTTTTAGTAGAAAATGGCATACTGAGACCACAGTCCAGACACTAAGAGTATTAATTGCTATTTTTCAGTGGATAGATCTAAAATATACATTTTAAAGGAAAACAAATCATTATTTTACCGTCATAATTTTAGTTCAGATTATACGGTTTTATGCAACATTTTTAGTTCTAATTTATGTATTTTTTCCTCTTATGCTGAAAATCTTGTTTCTTAATGATGTTAAGACAATGATTTCTTGGCTTTCTCATGCATTCATGTGGGTGAGTGCAGACACATGCATGTTAACATGCATATAATAATTTCAAAATGTTTCCACTAACAATACTATTAGTAAGTGTAGTTTAAGATGGTTTTGCTCTTCTTTTTGTCCATAGGACATAGCACACTGGGATAAATAGTTCCTGCTGTGTTTTAAAGTCACTTCAAATAATTCATGTGGATATGCTACCAACTTGATAGACAGATATTTGTTTCTTATTTTGGAGGATTTTATTTATTTTTATTTTAACTTAGTTTTATTTTATAATTAGGCGAAATAATTACATTGTTCAATGTCAAAACTATAAATTACAGAAAGTCCCCTTCCACCCATCCCTCCCCTTATAGAAATTATGATACCATGTGTCCTTTTCTGCACTGTGCTTTTTCACTGAACAAGACATCCTAAAAAAGAGTCCATAGCAGTAGGTGGTTTATTCAACCAGTCCACTTTTTGGAGGCATTTGGGCTTTCCCCAACATTTTACCATTACAAGTAAGTTTTAGTAAACGGTCTTTATAGGCTATTGAGAATTAAATAAAATGCAATATATTGAAGGTCTGTGTTAACTATAAAGTGATCTACATGCATACATATATATGTATGTAAGTGATATACATATATATAGATGATTTTATTATAATTATTTTAGTTCCACAGAAATTTACTAAGCACTTACAATGTGATAGAATATAAAGGTAACGATGACATGGTCCCTACTCTTGAGGTTTTATGGTCCAAGGTAATGTGGAATAAAAAGAAAAATTTTCCATATTTCCTTCTCAGATAATTTTTAAGTTTCTCATCAATAATTGCTTTAGCTGGTGTCATTTTTACATTCAATTAATTCCTGGATTTATGGATATGTACAGATGTCAATCATTTATCATATTTTCTACTGTACAGTATTGGATTACAGTGCTAATACAGAGCTTCTTTTAGTTTACAAACCCTATAATCATATCATCAAAGAAGTTGGTTTTGTCTAATGGATTTGTGTTTTCCTAAAGACGGAGTTCACAATGACAACAATAACAGTGACCACAGAAGTTCCCCCAAGGGGTAAGACAGAAGATAATTCTGCCTTGTATGAGTCCCCATCAGCTCACATTATTGAAGAAACCGAATATGTGAGAACGGTAGGTGGGGGCCAGGCATCATGCTAGTATGATTTTTTTAAAAGTAAAGTCTAGTATGGATTGGTGGGCTTTGTTTCTCCCTCCATAGAACATGCGAGGAAGAACAGACCTTGTTTGGCAAAGAATAATCTTGATAGCTGACATTTAAACACATGTTGAGCGCTTTCTCTTGAGGATATGAACCCCTGTTCCTACCCTTGCAATAAAATTGAAGAATGGGCCAGGAGAGTTCACACCTATCAGGACTTAATTTGCCCCACACGATTCACCACTGCACTTCCTACTGTTTTATATCGTTTCTCAGTTGTTTCATGAGTGTTGGTACTGCGTTGCCTAGTAGATGTTTACATTTCCTGCTGAGTGTCTGTCTCTCAGCGTGTTCCTTCTGACAGTTTGGGGTCACTATTGCCAATGACTATGAGTAAGCATGCTCCTTCATTAAAAATGTGAAATCTTATGAAAATCCAATGATAATGGTGGACAAAACATATATTCTTATGAACTGTATCTTAGAACAGATGGAAAAATTTGGACATGGGTAGTTTGTAACTATCAGATCTATTGGTTCATCTCTGAGTGTCTTGTAATTCCATAGGTCACAAAGGCATGGGACTTATATTTCATGTATAAATTTGTATGATTTCCACTTAGTAATTATTCTATAGTAATTACTCAATAGTAATTATTCTCTAGTAATTACTAGGTAGTAATTATTTTGTAGTAATTACTAGATAGTAATTATTTTGTAGTGATTACTAAACAGTAATTGTATTATAGTAATTACTAAGTAGTAAATTAGTACTAAATTACTATATGGAAAAAATAGAACTAAATAGAATTAGATACTAATTACTAAATAGTAATTATTTTGTAGTATAATATCCACTTATGTTATATTTCAGGTTTGACTGAGAAAGAGTTAGAAAGACCAAATGCTCATTTTCTACAATCTAAACAATATTAGCCTAAATGCAAGTTAGGTTGATGGTAATTGTTTAAGTCTGAGATCAGTTTATATGTACTATTTTCTAGATAAGTCAGGTGCACTGCTGCTGGTGTAGAGAAAAAAAGTATTTGGCATTAAATGCCTTTGAAAAAATAAGATATTTTTTTTTCTTCTAGATTCGAACTACTCTGGAAAAGATCCGAAATCAAATGTTTAAGGATGAAACAGGACATAACAGTACAAAGCACAAACTAGATGCAAAGGTAATGAATTTATCAAAATGTACCACTTTTATCCCTTCAGTAAATAAACGTAAAGCCATATAGGCTTTATTTAAATAACTTTTTTGGATAATTATTAAATTATTCTTGGAAGCTTTGATGGATGAGTATTAAATATTTTGTCACTATCTAAAGATGTTAATGGGCATATGTATGAAATATTTAACCACAGATGTCATTAGTAGGATCAGATTGGAATGACCAGAACTTACTCGAGTATTTTAAACTGGGCTTACTTATCTAAAGTATATGGGAAGATGTCGGCCCAGCCAAGATACATGGCAGCAACATTTCCCAATGACAGACAAAGGTACAAGCTTTTAGGCTCACCTGGGCCACACCAGTGGAAACACAGCTGAAGCCATTAGGCCAAGTGATCAGACAGCCAATAAGCTTAAAGACACCCCTGCCCCTGCAACCGGCCTTATTTTCTTAAAGTTAAGCACGCTGCACTTAACCTTGTCTGGATTGTCACATTAAACCTTATCTAAGCCAAGTGCACCTTGTCAATGTCAGTGTGATCCTTGAGTACAGCCACAGAGAACACCAGCCCTAGGTATGACGCGTAAACATAGTCTCCTTGAATCATCCTCAGCCCCCCAAACCAACACAACTATCTCCAATTATTTCCCTAAGTGTTCTGAAGCTGGAAAAAAAGGTTAATGTTTGTGAATGATGGGAAAGATTAAAAATTCAATTTTGGTTATATTGAGTTGCCTATTAGAACTCCAAGTGGAGTTTTCTACTGGGCAGCTGGATATCTGATCCCATAATTGGGAATAGAAATCTGGGCTAGAAGGTCCAGGCGACAGGATAGACATTTGGGGAGTAAGGTGGATACTTAAACTTCTTAAACTGGAGGAAGCACCAAGCATGTGAGTGTGGATAGAAATGAGAGAAAATCTAAGCACCGAGTCCTGAGATTTCCAACATTTAGATGTTGGGAAGAAGAGGAGGCATTATCACAGGAGACTGAGAAGAGAGGCCCATGGGTTAGGAGGAAAGAGAGGAGCGAATGGAGCCACTGAAGACAAAAGCAAAAGGGTTGTAGAAAGGGAGGAGGGACCACTGTGTCAGAGGGTGTCCATGGGTCAAGTAAACTGAGGACTGAACATTGACCATTGGTTAGAACAATGGGGAGGTTTGGGGACCTTGATAGGAGTAGCTTCTTAGGAATGGAGATGAATTGTGTGCTAGTGTGTCTACTCAGCCATCTCAAACCACAGAAGGTTAGCAGACAAACGGAGCATCAGAATATCAGCTCCTCCCCCTTCAGTATCTAGGCAATGTCACTGTAGGGACTTAGCCATAATAATCTTAGGCTCTGCTGTTGTAGAACCAAAGTCTGTAAGCCCAATGCTTCCGAGAAGCCAAAACTCAAAACATCAGAATTTGGAGTAAGGGAAGGTTTATTGATTGAGAAGACACTGATCGAGAAGATAGGTGACCTAATGGTACTTCAAATCCATCTTTAGAAAGTATAGAGTTCAAGCTTCTTTTATGGCAAGGGAAGGGGAACTGGGAGGGGCAAGAGGTGATTGACAACCACAGACATCAGGGCACCAGCAGATGTCTGAGGAAGATTGTGAAGCTTCTTTGTTCTTAGTCCGTTGACTCTAGTTGATGTGAGTCAGGTCACAAGGTGCCAGCAAATCTTTGATAAACAATCATGATTTTTTGTACATACTTACTTCCCTCATCTCCTCAGGAGAGGCACTTTCTGGGAAGGGGCTGTTTTTGTAAAACTCAAGCTGCAAGCAGAATTCCTCTAATGATTAACATGTACAGATGCAAGAAGCCATTAACCTGAAGGCCATGGGAACAAAGCAGGCTTGAACACGATGGAGTCAGAGAGGCTGAGCATTACACTGTTATACTGCTATTCTCAAAGGGTGGCCTGCAGTCCCAGCAGCATCAACAATGTCAGGGAGCTTGTTACATATGCAGCTAGAGCTCCACCCTGGAACTCCTGAATCAGAATGTGTATTTTAACCACATCTATCATCAAATGATTCCTCTGCATGTTAAAGTTTGAGGGGCACTGACCTATGACCTTTGTAGCTATCTACCATTGCTGGTAACCCACCTTCTACAAGAGCCTTTCCATCAAATATTCTTTAACAAATAAAAAAGAAAATAATGCCTGCTCTGTATATGAACACTGAGAAGGATGCACTAGGGTCGGGAATAGAAAAGAACAAAACCTTGACAGAATTATGATGACTGTATTATTTCTATGCACTAATTTCTTTTTAGTTATTTCTGTAAATGTAGCATGTTTATTATACAGGTAAGGACATGGGCTTTGTTGTTAAACACACTTGGATTCTAATCCTGGTTCTGGCAGTTGTTTTAGTATAACCTTGCGCTTGTTAGTCAAACTTTCTCACCTTCAGTTTCCTCGTTTGTATAATGGACGTAGTGCCTACTAGTGTCTTGACAAAGAAGTGTGTATAAAACATCAAGAAGATTACCTAGCACATAATAGATGCTTAATAAATAAAAGCTGTTATAGTTGTAGGGTATGTATAATTGTATAGTCATCCCTTGGCCTGTCTTGAAATAATTTGGAAGAAAGAGCACAGGATGAACAACTAAGAGACTGTATCCTGAGCTCTCCCAGTCCACTTGCAATGTACACTTGGGCTCGGTCCCTCAGTTCTCATATCTGGAAAATTAGTGTGGCTGAGTTAGATGGTTTCAAATTTCCTTTCTACTTCCACATTTCCTTGATTCCAGGTGAGATTGTATTTATGCTCTAAGTGTATTTGCAATGAGCTAGAGTTTACACAGAGTTACACTGGCAGTAACGTTCAATTCTGACACCTCTGATTAGAAATTTAAAAGGGTGATTACAACAAAGCGTTTTTGAACATTAAATATTATGTACTGTAACTATTAGGTCTGATTATATTAGTTTGTAAATGCAATGTGACCAAAATGCATTTTTGTCTCTAACTTAAATTTTAAAACAAAACAAAACAAAAACGGATCTTGTGGATACTATTTCTTCCCTAAGAAGGATTTATTGGTATATTTTAAACTGTAGGGAAAGTAAAGGACATAAAAGATGTACTTGTACGTCTTTAAAATATAAGATTCTGTTCAAATTTGAGCATATATAGAGGCCAGCTGCTTCGTTTTGAATTCCCCATTGATATTTGAGATCCCAAAGATCTCTTTTATTTGTGCTTACCTGAACCTTCCTTGATATGTGTAATACAGAGTGATCATTATTGTTGTCAGTTTGCAGAAGAAAGGAAAAGACAGTTTCTGAGACTTGGATGTTTGTTTGTTTCAGCGCTGTGGAAACATTCAAAACGGCTCTGACTCTGAAATGGACTCCTCTCGTTGCAGCCTGGATCTGCTCATGGAAAGGGTGAAAGGAAAAGACCTTCAGCTCTTAGAAATGAACAAAGAGAATGAAGTATTGAAAGTCAAGGTATGGCCATAGGAGGAGCTTCTAATTTTGTATGTTGAGCCTTTGAGCCCATCGGATAGATGTGTGGATCCCTGAAAGCAGGCAACTAACCGCCACACGCAACCACAGACCCACACGGATGCTCGCATATGTAAAGGAACATTGCGACGTTTCATCAATTGAATATCACTGTTCTATTTTGGGACCTACTTGTATTATTAAAAAGATCTTACAGAAGTTCACCAGGTAAAAAGTTTCAGTTGTGCAAAATAAACAAGTTGTGGAGATCTGCTGTATGGCATTGTGCGTGTAGTTAATTCTGTAGCGTACACTTGAAAACTTGTAAAGAGGGTAGGTCTCATGTCAAGTGTTCTTACTACAGTAATTTTTTAGTCTACATATTTATTAAATATTAATTAGAGCGTTCCCAGTCAAATTCCTTACCATTTTGTTTCATTAATCTGTTGTTGGATGCTTTAGAGTTTCCTTTTTTTTTAAAATTCATTATATATACAGTCCTACAATGGAATATCTTGGTAGGTTAAACCTTTACAGCCTGCTTGATTATTTCTTTAGGTGAAATCCCTGAAGGATTCCTGCCACTTCAGCGTTATTGCCCTTACAACTCCAATCATGTCTCAGTGCTATTATATTTCCGGAAAACATATCTTTTAGTACCATCGCAGACACCGATGATAAAATGCTTGCAAATAAGTATATACACTGATAGGACACTGTGGCGTTCTTTGAAGGGCACAGTCTATAAACTCAGGGCACCGAGGCGCGGGGAGCTGTGGTTTGGCCTGGCCAGGGCAAATCCGCCTGCTCGACAGCCCCGCTACATAGGAGCTTCTCCTTGTACATTTTCCTCTTTCCACATAGCAGCATCTTTTCTCCTCTCCCTTGTCTACAAGGAACAAATGGCATAACTACAGCCTCTGTGTTTTTAATTGCCTGTCGTACTGTTCTGCCTTAAACTTTATATTGTAAATGTCAAAGCATGCACAGTGACCTTTTTTTTTTTTTTTCTAGCTGGAAGCCTCCAGAGAAGCAGGGGCAGCGGCCCTGAGAAACATGGCCCAGAGAATATTTGAAATCTATCAAACAGAGTCTGAAGAAGTCAGAAAGAAGCATGAGGACAGCAGACACTTGCTCCAGGTACTCAGCTAGCAGCTTGTCTATTGGAGACCCGCAGTCATTCATAATCCTCTTTTTGGAGGGGTTAGAGGTGAAACAAGCAATGGCCACGTGACTCGGCAAGCCCTGGGAAGGCAGGGTGCCCATGTTCTGTGCTGACCAACCGCAACCCCGGGTTAGCAGGGTACCCAGATCTTGCCCAGCTGCTGTCTTGCCACTCTTGCCCAGAGCCCAGCAAGGGCCTCCCTGCCTAGCAATCAGGGCTGTCCCTGGAGACAGTGCCAGGGACGTAGCTCATGATGCTGCTTTTGACTCACTGGCCGACCCAGGTTGAGTCATTCAACCTCTTTGGGTTTTGATTTCCTGGTCTCTACGATGAAAGAGTTGGACTAGATAAATGGTTTCAAAATGGTTTTGGTCCTAGAATGCATTCTTCAGATTAAACAAACAAAAACATGTGTGTCCGTGTACATATATACTTTAAAATATATAAATATTATATATTTCATATATACACAAATTTATAAATTAAAAATATAAGAAACATAAATATGTGTATGTGTGTGTCTATAGCATAGACACACACATCTATGTTTTTTGTTTCTTTTTAAATCTGAAGTATATAGTCTAGGACCAATAAAACTTTATCTGAAGAATATATTCTAAGACTGGAAAAGGAAAAATCAATATGTGAGTGTGTATATGTGTGTGTTTGCCAAACCTCAAACCCTAGTTCACGCTGGGGAGCAATGCTTGGATCTCTGCCAGCTCAGGCCCTGGAAAAACACAGCAGGGAGCACAGTAGGAACTCCTCTGCGTAGGTGACGCGCCTCCAAGCCCCAGGCTGTGGTGGTGATGGCAGCAAACTCACGGGCATGCAGAAGGCGGACAAAGAACCTGAGTGCAGTGCCGCGTGTGTGGACCCTACTGTTCTGTGTGAGTGGTGGGCCTGCAGGGACTGCATGCCCACGTTCCTGCCAAGGGGACTCAGCCCCAGGCAGGAGTTGCCTGGCAGGAATCCCACCTGGTGTTTTCAAGGGAAGCCAGACACTTTGTTTTTTAACCATACGATCTCAAGTTCTATTAAACACACACGAATTGTGTGTGGGTGTGTCGGTTAGAAGTCAGTTGCAACACTGCCCGTTGGGCAGCCCGATGAAGACTTCTCTCCCGCGATGGCTCCATGCCCTGACACAGTGGGATCATTACTCTGCTTTTATGACACCTTCTGATTAAAAATAAAACTTTTTTACTTGCACAGATAAGATTTTATGTTTGTTCTAGATACTTTTGGTGGAGAAAATTTTAAAATTTTGCTTTTCTTAAATGAGTGCCTCTCTTTCTGATACCAGCTCAGGTAGCATGCTTTATGGTAACAAATGTAAACATTCTGGGTATAATATGTATGTATTATTAATTCTTCATTGTTTTGGTGGTGTTGTAGTCTGTCTGGTTTATTTGGAAGGAAACACTGAATTCAAAAAAGGAAGCCTAAACACGTGTGAATTATTAAACATTTTTGGTTTTTCGGAAAAGGAGATAATATCCATATAGATTTAATAAATCAATAGTCTGACAACTGTTTTTTCTGACCAAAGGTTAACAAACTTGAAAAAGAACAGAAATTGAAACAACAAGTTGAAAATCTGAATCAAGTTGCTGAAAAGCTGGAAGAAAAACATAATCAAATCACAGCTTTGGAGAACCTTGTGCAGAGAATGGAAAAGGTAAGCGCCTGGAGAATTAAAGGGATTTCTTCCCAGAATGAAAAAAATAACACAAAAATAAATAAAATAGCATTCATTAGAAGTACTCTGTGCAACTCCTAAGACTTTAGGAAGTACCCAATGATGTTAATTGCTTCTGTAATGTTAAAGATTTACCTCTCTACAAATACTGCAGTCGTCACTGTCACTTTCTCCTTCTAGTAAATGTATGACTTAGAAAGGGGAACCAGACAAGGCTGTGAAAGGAAACAACAGAAGTGATCACACAGTCCACCTTTTCCTAGTAACAATAGAGAGGATCCCTGCAATCATAGCATTTTTATGTATTCGAGTCAGCCAAGGGTCCGCTTTGGTCACTCACATCCACTTTAGGTTTGTAAAAACCCATAGCTAGCTGCACAAGGACAGACACAGTTCACAATTAGAAAAGACATTCTGTGGAAATTGGAACTTTCAAAAGGGAGAATTCAGGGAAAGTAATAACAGTACAAAAAATACTAAAATTTTCTTGCACTTTTCTTTTAAGTAGCTGGCACTCCAAATAGATACAAAAAGTGAGCACAGAAATTTAGTTATGCATGTCTTGCAATTTAGAATTCAGACAAACCAAGATATACTGTTTTAGTTTTTATTTTTTAATATACTGTTTTTTTAGTAGCAAAACAAACTAATAGAAAATTGTCATCTTGGAAACTAGATTGGGGGTAGATAAGAATATGCACTTTGACTTCTAGTGAATATTTTCTAATAAATTTTTATATTTATTAAATTAATTCCTTGATTTGCCTCTTTTCTCAGCCTTATATTAATGAGTCTGCCTGAGTTGATGCCATTTCGAAATGTCACTTCAAAAGCATCACATTTCAATAGTCACATTTGCCAAAGGAACTTTGATTAAATTTTGAATATGTCCCAAGAATTTAATTTATAACACTATGTATTTGGCTGAATTTGTAATCTTAATGAAGGTCCTATGAGGAAATCATGAAAATTAAATAAGCCTAAACTTAACTGAACCTAATAATAATAATATACAGCTACATCTGTATACTGATTATTATACTTTAGCCAAAATCACTGTGCTAGAATGTTCTCAAGCAGCTGGTTTGTCCAAGTGCGAGTTTGTAATTGTGATGTTTTGGACAAATTGTAACATTTGGATGAATACTTTGTAGTATTAGAATATTTATCACGTAGTAAATAGTTTAACAAACTATGATAGCACAGAGAATGCTGGCATTTTGGAAAGAAAGACAATTCTGGAATGCAAATACAGTTGTTTAACCGAACAATGTGATTAACTAGTTTGACATTTAAATTTAGACTTGTGATCACCTCAAACCCAGCAACACTGGGTCAGGTTTAGTGGCCAGCTGTCAGTCCCTGACAATTAACAAAGAATAGTGGAATATAATTTCTATTTCCTAGAAACTCCAGGAAATCAGTACCAGATGTGAGTTCACCTGAGAATTCTGCGGTATATTCACTTGACTATTTATTCAACAAATGTTTGGGCACTTCCCAGTTACCAGGCAGAGCCAGAGGCTAGATATCTATTTGTGAATGAACTGGACAGATATAGTCTGTGGAAATTACAGTGTAGTATATCTGGGTTGTGTGGGATTCAAGGAACTTTCCAGATCTCCATTCATTCTCCTAGGGGTCCTTAGGGATGCTGACATCCCTACTGAAGGGAGGGGATATACCCCAGTAAAAGGTTAAGTGGCTCAGGTATTGGCAGACATTTTTGAGAAGCGATGACCTAGCATTAGTCTTGATATTGGCCCATAACAGTGGGCTATCTCTAGGACTGTGTGACAGAGCGAGTGGACAAGATGCCCATGGTTCAGCCAGGCATTGCAGTAACCTCCCAGAATGCTCTAGTTTAATAACTTCCTAGGGTGGAGCCCCTTGGAATGTTTGGGAGGCAGAGGTAGGTGGGAATGGAGTGGAAAGGCAATTGTGCAGGAATTGTTTTATTTTTTAACATATTTCGTTTAAAGATACTTCACATGTGGTAAAAAAAACAAGCAAATAAATACAACTCTAAGAAATAAAGCTGGGCAACATCACCTTGGTTTACGGAGAGACAGAAAATATAGACTGTGATGAAGGCTTTCTCACCTGGGGAGTGGTTATTAGGATGAAGGGAGGGAGCACTGAGGCTTTTGTATGAGTAGGAAAAAGGCTTGAGTTCAACAAGGAAATGCAAATTAAAAATGAATAGCCACAGCCAAGGTTGATAAAATACCGCCCGTGGTAGTGGGTGCCCCCTGGAGAAGGATTCATTTTCTACTCACTTGAACAAGCCACTGCGCCAGTAAATAGCCATTAGTGGTATGAGGTCTGGTAATGAACGCATTACTTAAAACCTTCACCATCTGCCCCACTTTAATCAAGAATGCAGTGAAAATGAATTCTATAAACACAGTGATAAGCCAGCAAAAACGCCCAGTAAGAGCATTTTAATATGGCATATGTTCCTTTTGCTAGCAGTGCAATTCTGTTACATCATATTTGTTTTCTAGTGGCATTGATTTAGCTCTATTAGAATGTTAGAGCTCAGAGGCGCCTCTGAGACCACCTAGTTCTTCCTCATCATCTTATAAATGAGGACAGTGCGAACAAGGAACTCTTCCACCGTGCTCCCGTAACCTGTTTACTGTCCTTTTCATTATGCCCCTCTCTTCTCTGATGCTGGATAAAAATGACGTCCTTGGTTCCTATGCCGTTTAGATTTTAACATTTAGCAGTGATTTAAATCGGTATCTGCTCCATTCTGATCAGTAGGGCGGGGGAATACTTCAGCGCCCAGAGGCGTGGTTTGGGAAGAGCGGGTTGCCCACTGGGTGGCGCTGTGAACTCCTTTTCCTTTCCCCGAAGGCACTGCCCCTGAGAGGTGCTGGCTGGTATAGTGGGATTTTCTGTGTTGTCAAAGAGGAAGCATTAAGACCCCAAGCTAGACGATAGGGCCAAGGCAGAACAGTGACATGCCCAGTAGCCTCCTTAAACGCTCGTTATGAAGATCCATTCAAGAGTAAGTCCATGAAGAAGAATGTTTGTAAAGCACCATTTTCCTCCCTACAAATTCAAAATATATTATCAGTGATGTGTTTCTTTGATGATATAATTAATGTAAGCTTACAAGGCATATCTGTGATTCTCTCAGAAATAATTTGAACTAGGGCTACACCAGATCAATTTCTATATGGGACAAAAATGCTACAGGAAAAATTTGAAAATGTTAGTATAAATTGTAAAAATAACAGCATATAAGATATGAAGTGCTTGGTACCTTCAAATTATTATATACTGAGGTCCTACTATGTGCCTGAGAAGCACGTAGGCCTTTCACCTATATTATCTTCAATCATCCCAACTTTCAATATAGGGAGTATTATCCCTATTTTAGAGATGTTCAAAAAGACAGAAACATGACTCATACATATATAAGAATAAAATATAGAAACATGTCAGATGTTTTATTCAACTCATCAATTAATGAGGGAACCAGTAAGATGGTAAAACTGGTTAAAATAAAATATTTTGAGAAACTGCTATTTATATGCATGTTGAAACAAAAGAAATATATTGGATAGGATTACTAGGTTAGATGCTTAGCTCGTGACATTCTTTAAGGCATTTCATCCATAACAGTTGAGGTTATCTTTTCTGCCAGGCAGAAATCTATAAATTAAAATAAAACTTCAGAGTCAGACCTGTAATCAACTATTAAATAATAAGAGTCAAACACAGGGAAATTCTCCAAGAGAAAAATAATCCCTGAGTCAGATTATTAAATAGCAACCCATTATGACATTTATACCACATGCTGTATATTATTTTGATTTCCAAGTTTTGGTTAATTTTTATTAGCACTCATAAGGCCCAGAGAGGTTAAAGCTTTGGCAGCCACAGAGTTTCAAAACCAGGTCAGTCCACGTCCCAAGTTGCTCCGAGGTTTTTGCTGCCCAGCACTGCCTTGTATTATACGGCCCTGCCATATAAATGCTGCAGCCGGAATGATTTTAAATGGCAGTGTAAAAAGAAACAAAAAAAATCTCTGACCTTCAAATATAAAAAAGGGACACAATCGTCCCACCTTGGGTTTTCATGGACTTGTCTCTTTTCCTTTTGGATGGAAAGAGTTTGACTTAATCATGACATTAAGGCATTTCTTTACATGTTCTTTCTTAATGTCATAATTTCTCTTACATCTTAATTAGGAAGACTTCATCAATTGTGGCCTTGACCCTTCACTAAAAATCCATTTACTACCGGGGGTGCCAAAAAAAGGTACACATTTAAAGAGATGTTATCTATGTCTTACTTTTCGAAGTTGAAGTGAATTACGGTAGCTATGTGTAGTATGACGTTCACTCAAAAGATGGTGTTAATCAAATAAATGCTAGCGTCATTCATTGTATTACAATTTTAATACAGTTTTTTTCCTTCTCAAAATATGTATACATTTTTTGGGCATCCTCTGTATTTTTCTACTTTCTGACAGCTGCCACGTGAGTAGGTAGGAATCAAGAAAAGGGCAATGGTGGCTTGGATACCAACAACGCAGCCTAACGGAGAAGTGTGTGTCATGGTGGGGGAGCCAGTGCCTAGCGAGAACTGAGCAGGCGGTTTGCATCTGGAGTGGGATGGAGAGAGGCGGAAGTGTTACTGGACAGGCTCCATTTCAGCAAGGGGTTGGAGGAGGAGTGAAAGCTCTCCAGGCAGGTGAGGACAGGAAAGACAGCTAGTCTTGAGCTGACACTGAGCTATTCGAAAACCATACAGGAGAATGTCTGAGCAGGCTTTACTGGGGTGGGTTGTCACAGGTCCATATGAAATCACCTCTTTAGCTCAAGACATATTTCTGGTATTACAAGAAGCCTCTTTTGTGAACAGTTTGCAAGAATGTGTCACCTCACACATACACATGAGAGAGAGAGAGAGAGAGAGAGAGAGAGAGAGAGAGAGAGAAATAAGCAAGAATTGTGTCTTATTTTCTCCTAGGAAAAGAGAACACTGCTAGAAAGAAAACTGTCTTTGGAAAGCAAGCTGCTGCAACTCAAATCCAATGCTACAAATGCGAAAAGGTTTGTGAATCTACCGCCTAAGTAAAAGCAGTTACTGATACAATTCCTCTCCATTGCTCCACTGGCCAATGGACTGAAGGCTACCCCCTACCCCATCCCCACCGCCCCAAGGAAACAGGGGGAATGAAAGTGCAGGAGAGGGGGAGAATTCCTAGGATTAATAGCCACTCGCCTTTCCTTTCCCACCCACTGGGGCTACAGGGAAACTGGTGGGAGGGTTCATCGTTTTGAAGAGTGAGTGAGCCTGTCCCCTCCCTGTTTACCCTTGGTGATGAAGGGGATGCTCAGAGATCTTCATTCCTCCATGCTTCTGATTTTGTTAATGGGTCTCTGCTAATGGGCCAGCCACAAGTGGAATTCATAGAGAGTGATGGCAATACTGTGGAAAACATCCTTCATTTTTTGGATGTATTTACAAATACTCATAATTCACAAGCAGTCACAGTCCTTAGTGTGCTCTGGGGTGCAGGTGGATTTATGGATATCACCACAACTGTTTTACCACTCAGCTGCTGTTAGAAAAGTCCTCTGGAATATCCTGAAATAACTCATATCATATGAAATTTTCTGTAGTTTTCCTTTCCTTCTCTAAACTAAGCCCACCACAGTCATTATATTTTATGACATAATGTTCAAAGTCAAATCTATTTCAAGATCTTTGTTCATCCATCTAGAGAATGTACATTCTTATTCTCATTTATTCAATAACATATGCTGAAAATCCCTCCCTTTTGGATTTTGATTCTTTTGATTTTTTTTCCCCTTGTTTTCTTTTCTTTCCCATTATTTCTCTTTCTCTTCTCATCTGTCATATGTTGTGCTTTCTATCTGACTCATATTCATGCATTTGGAGCACATATACCAAAGCCCAGAACTGGGCTGACCCTGGCAATTGGACTTGAGTATTCAAAACACATTGGGATACCACCAGATTATTGATTCCCACATATTCCTCCCTGTGAACAAGTATATAGCCCCCCTCCCCAGAAGGTGGACATCGAAGAGAGTTTTGTAGTATTGGATATCACTACAGAGAATGAAGGAATTACTGTGGAAGACATCCATAGGTCTTTGGAATTACTTACATATACTTATAACTTAATTCTAAATACATCTTTGGCTTATTTTATTTTATTTTATTTTTCTTAAATAGAGAGTTTTTCCATGCAGCAGAACTACTGGCCAGTACAGTGAGCCTTCTATAAAGAGTTCAGACAGTCTTGGTTTGATTTTTTTCTTTAAAAAGTGATTTTTTTATTGATGATAAGGTTTTTGTCAGCCCTTGAGCCAAAGATGTAACAATTTTAAAAACCAAACTGATGTATTCTTTCAGTTCTATTATATATAAGTAGTTGTTGTAAAGACTTCTCAAAAAGCTCTTAAAGAGGTTTTAGAAATATCTTAAAGGAAATGGGACATTTTCTGTTTCCAGAAAGGTGTTTGAACATCAGGCTTATGCAATTTTCATAGATTGTAGGTATCACCAATGTTTATCTTACTACTTTTCCTGACTGTGTGTGGAAGTATTCACTTTGCTAAGGGACAAGAAAATGAAATCAGTATGAATCAGACTCTTTTGGTTAAAGCAATAGAGACTTGGTTAAGCTACCACAAGTAAAGGTGATTTCTATTAGGTTAAGACTGGAGGGATATGGCCGTAAAGAGGATGTGTCCCATGGGAAGACAGAAAGGCCACCGTTTCGCATCTAATGTGGTTGTTTTTTTGTTTTGTTTTGTTTTGTTTTTAAGATTTTTATTGG